ACCACGGGTAATGTTTTGGTACGGCTATCATTTTTGCACTCGAAAACAACACAATAAGGCATTTTTCTAGGGTTTTAGAGAATTTGCACGAAAGAATGACACAACCATACCATACAAAGCGAAAATGGCGGACTGAGCTCAGATAGGTCTTTCGAGATCTATAGTTGGCACGCGTACTACGCCAACTAACCACTTCTCTCTATTTATTGTTCTGTGGGAAAGGAACGAAACGGTCCGGTGGAACAAATCAGTCACCAAAAACAAGAAACTTTGAGTACTACAGTGGGTGCATTTGGAGTGCATGAAAGGAGCCTGTACGTCTGGTACAGCCTGGGCAACAATCGGCGAATACCTTACGCCGATTGGCAAAACCTTTCACCACGATGATAAAAATCATAGTGTATGCCATCCTGATCTCGATGATGCCATCGATACGATGAGAAGAACTACTACCAGAACCTTCTAAAAATCTGTGCCTTTGTTTCTAAGACATCATGTCCAAAAAAATAAACGACTGGCAATAACTTTAGTAGTCATACAAAGGTGTAACGATACTAGGTTTTGGGGCACCCTGACACAAGGACCAAATGACTTCCATTTAAAATAACACCTGAGCTTTTCACTCACATTAGCCTTTGTGTGAGTTCAATTCGAGTGATAAAAGGAACAATGTCGAGTTCTTAGGTTTTCGCGATTGTTACACATAGGAAATGAAACTATTTTTCCGGATTTAAATCAAACGTGACCATGGGACCTGTAAAGGGCCCGAAACGTCGGTTTGTTTGAAAAAAACAAATTTACGCGATTTAAATCCGGAAAAATAGCTTCATTTCCTAAAAGGAACAATGGTGTCCAAAAGTTTGCTGGACTTCGTTGAGCTTGTTATTAACCTCTGTAAAGGAGATTTCAAAATAATCGTTTTCTTACTTTAATACCTTCGTATAAGGTACTTTATCCCACTTTCCTTTTCACCCATTTTCATCAGGGTTGAATTCTTCAGAAGCTTTGTCACACATACATGTATTCATATTACTTTACATCATACATATTTTTTTTATTCCAAAAAACAAACATTCAGTACGTCAATTTGTCTGCCAGTCCGTATTTTTTTATATTTGGCTTACCTGATTATTTTTAACACTTCAATCCGACAGAGTAATCTTGTGTCGTCGTCCATTTTCTTAAAAAGCGGCAAAAGCGAATTCATAAACAACTTATCATCATCAAAATGATCGTCAGGCAATATAGAATTTGCATCAATTTTGATTTCAAGGGACGGGTTCTTCAGTTCCTCTATGGTCGCTGTAGCTTTGTCTACCGTTTCCGGTTTATCTGTGTCCGGTTTGGTTTTTGAATCTAACGGTTTCTCTAGTAGTTCATTCTTTATCTTTGGTATGACGTCATCTGGAGGTGGGTGTTGAGGAGAGTTGGATACTTCAGAAAATGACTCGTATTTGTCTTGTGAGTAACGAGGTTTTCTGTAAAGTGAAAATTAATAACATTAATAACAATACATTGTATTTTTCAGACAACAAATAGTCCAGTTTTGTTAGTAAACAATGTTAATTCTGAAAATTTATGTAGTATCGATGTAGTGATGCTGTTGACGAGTTTGGTCACCCCATGGTGACACCCCTCTCGTGTACTCGAAGCGCTGGCCGCATATTTCATTTCATTTCATTTCATTTATTTATTGCTTTTCACAGGTATGGTACAATTTAATAAACTTAAAACTATGACAGCATACATGTGATACCCTGTAAGGGCGTTGCAAATTAAAGTTAAGTGATAGTTACAATATAATTTAGGAACAATCCAAACTTAAAACGTAGGTAATTAATTGATATGGGTATTATTATTATATTTAAATTAAATTAAATTATATTTAAATCAAATTAATTATTATTTATACATGTTCAGCACTATATATAAGTCATACATTTAAGCCCCAAAACAATCCCAATCATGTAGAAGCATCAACTATGAGACATACAGTCAGTTAAAAGATGAGTTTTTTATCTTGGCCAACTTTCAAATACTTTTATCATCGAAAAACTCAGACATATTATAATAGGTTTTTAGGATGAGAAAATCCTTTAATTGTTTTTCAAAAACCTTGATATGATTATATATTTTAATTAACATAGAATGTGGATCCCGACATATCCCGACATGCAGTGCTCAACAGCGTCATCGTACGGGCCTTCTCGGCCAGCAGTTCTCGAGCCCACAGGCATCTGTCACAGTGACGGTTAGAAACCTGACGGATATGACTCTCGATCCATGGAAGCTAGGGAGACAGCTAGTGTGGGACGCAACCTGTGTGAACACCGCAGCCCCCTCCCATGTCCTTGCAAGCGTGCGCGGCACAGGCTCTGTGGCCAGAGCGGCCGAGAACCGCTAAAGGCTCAAATACGCCAACCTTGCTCAGTGCTGCAGCTTTGTGACTCTTGCAGTTGAAACCCTGGGTCCCTGGGGTCCACAGGCGAAACTTCTAACAAACGAGGTGTCGGATCGCATCGTAGAAGCCTCAAGGCAGTTATTTTCGCCAAAGTTTAAGTTTAGCAATTCAAAGGGGAAATGTTGCCAACCTTCTGGGCACGATGCCCCAGGGTACAGCCCTCCAGGAAATTTTCTATTTATAAACTTTCTTACTTTTTTATGTATGTACCTGCTACTATAATATAGTATGACACTGTATATCATAAAACAACTTTAAATTAAAATGTTAGTAGTACTAAAAAATATATACTATAATCTCAGTACAGAGTACTAAAACAACGTGGTCCTCAAAAGTACGTGGAATTACGTCTATTTGCTAAGTTTTATTGAAATATCCCCTAGTTCGCCACTATACAGGACTTGATACTGGAGATAATAAAAATAGGTTCTCACTACGACACTACTCAAAGTATATTGAGGGCAAAACGCCTTGATAGCAAAATCAACCATTAAAGTAATTGCTCCTAAATTAAAGTTAGGCGCTATTTATAAAAGTGAATCTTTATGCGTGAACATCCATCTTTCGAGGTGGATGATTTTCTTCAAAATGAAATGGGACCACTATGGAAGTACCCCCTTTCCAACAAAAAAAGAATCATGAAATCGGTTCACAAATACCGGAGTTATCGCGTAACATACATACAAAAAAAAAAAAAAACATACAGTCGAACTGAGAACCTCCTCCTTTTTTGAAGTCGGTTAAAAATACAGTTCAAATACAAATTATGCTTCATACGCGAGGCGAAAAAAGCTGCCGCATGGAAGGTGAATTGAATCTACTGACAATGGTTTCCAGTATAGGGTTGGAGCTAGCACGCAACTTGCAGTGCAATGAGGCTGACTTTTATGCTGATTTTTTATGACATAATGGCATAAAAGTCATCAGTATGCGTCAGCGCAAACATGCTTGACGCACTGCAGAAACGTGGCAGCCCGAACTACATCCGAAAACCATTGTTGTACTGCATTCGTAGGGCGCGGATGGTCTGAAACGTATAGTCGGTCCATTATTTTAAGGAATGAAGTCGATTATTTCCTTTTAGATTGAGCAATTGACATGTACTTTGTTATGAATATTTTAATGTTACGAATAATTGATAATTATTGTTAAAAACAAGTTGCATGAAAGTTGACAGTAACAAAATGAGTTTCAGTGTGCCAAATACAAGGCATACAATACAAACACATCATCATAATTCATTTATTCATTGAGACACGTCCACGAGTGTGGATTGTGGTGTTAAATTAAATATAATAAAGGATTAGCAGTAGTGGAGTCCCTTGTGAAAGTGTTCGTCCAGGGAAGTATTGCCACGTTACCCATTTCTGCTGCCAAGCAGTAATGTTAAAGTCACTGCTTTCCGGTTTTGAAGAATTAAGGGTACTGGTGAAACTACAAGCACTGGGGACTTGTCAACTTATGTCTCACGGTGACGGGCGCAGTGGCAGTGCCCCTAAGATCTTTGCGATTTAAAGCTCTGAGTGGCACTGCAACTGTTATGGACAGGCGTGTAGCGTACCACTAGGTGCACGACTTGTTCGTCCTGTCAACAACAAAGATAATTAACTATGCCATTGCTGTGCACGGGTCTCCTCTCAGGCGAGGGGTTAAGCCATAGTCCACCACCCTGGCTCAATGTGCGTTGGTGACTTTACACGTTTTCTATGTTGTAGCCATTGAATTACATATGGACGTCGGGTCCGCGCTAAAAAGTGTCCGCACTTGTAAGGCGCTAAAATCGTATACAGAGCGCCACACTCCGCTTTAGTCTTCATTTGTTCGACTGACAGCGCGATACTGCGATGACATTACAATTTAAATTTCGAATAGGTTGACTTGGGACATTTTTTTTTTCGTGGTTTTTGTATTAGACCGGTCGTCCATTTATTTGTAAGTCAATGGTTGTAGCGTTTTATTTATCGTTGGATGACTGCCGCTTCTAGCCTGTTCCCATATCACAACTATCTGTCGTGGACGTTTATTATATCATTGAACGAATGTCGTGTCTAGCTGTTCCCACTAGAACGTGACGACAATTTACCGATTCACGGCAGCCGCCTTGTCGTTTGCACGACAGAATCGTTTGAAGCTAATATCTGTCAACACATTTTTATCATGACGGTATTTATCGTTAGACGATTGTCGTTCTAGAGTCTGGCAAACGAAAGTTGGGACTGAGAGTTTTGTAAAACTTTTTATATGGCAACCCTAAAATCTGTTGTCAAAACTGTCAGTACGCCATTATCGAGTGTAATATTTTTTTGTTTTTTCATTGTCGCGTTATCAATCATCAATAAAACGATTAAAAGTAACGACGATTTTCATAAAATCTAACGATTTTTGGTATCGATTTATTTCAATGAAATTTTCAAGCTAATGGAGTCTATAGAAAGGCAAGTCGATTTGTCTAGTTTAGAAAGCAATAAACTTTTGTAATAATTATCATTCAATTTGAACAAAACTCGATTTACAATACATATTATTTGTTAATTTTTTGCCTTCGATTTTGGGCGTAAATGGGTTTTAACCCGATTTAAACCCGTTAACAAAACCCGGGCACTCGCCCATTTTATTTGTCAATAAATAGGTTTTTGCTTTTTAAATAGCATAAGAATTGTAAGTTAGCTTACCACATTTAGTCGAGTTACGTATTTGGGTGACAATACTTATTTGTTTCTTGTTAAAGTATGATCAACTTGAGAAATCTGGTTGAGTTACAACTTTGGATCACGTTAAATACTCAATTGCTTTGGAAGGCAAGGAGGACATCTGTCGGCGGCCGTGGTGGGTGTTGATGTATTGACGCAGGTATCAAGTATTTGTCTGTCTGTTATGTCTTAATGCAACTTTCTTTACAAGGTCGTCTTAAAAATGTAAATGGACGATAGAAGATACTCACTTGTTCTGTAAAGCCCTGAGAAGGAAGGACATCTGTCGGTGGTGTTGGTAGCGCCGGCTGCCCGGCGGGCATTGGTCGGGCATCACGCATTTGCCCTGACGGTATGCTTTCGTGTAAGAGTCGCGGATTGAACGCCAGCGCTTCTGCACTTCTTTACCTGGAGACAATTTAATAATAGATATTATTTTCTAAACTAAAAATAAGATTGTCATAGAATTCCCAGTATATAATATCCCATGTAATAATTTACAAAAAAAAAACTTTTAAAAATAGTATTTTTTTTTATTTATATTGGTTTCACACATTATTAAAAACCGGAACACAGTAATGCCCATATTACTGCTCGGTGGCAGAAATAGGCAAGGTGGCAGACTTCCCAGAACTCTTTCACAAGGAGCTCTACAGCTACTGCAACGAGATCTACTGGTACCATTATTATTCCATAAAGGGAATAACTAAATCAAATGGGCCTTTTAATACTTGACTTATCAAATCAAAATGTTTTATTGCATACATTTTTTAACATAGATCTTATAGCACAGCAATGTCAATTCTATAAATTCTTTTAAATAAATCTAAATTTGTTAATACAAATTTAGATTTATTTAAAAGAATTTATGAATTGTAATCAATTAATTACATTATTTCAGTTAAAATTAATAAACAACAAAAAATACAGAAATTATTAGCAATCGTCAGACGTAAAATTAAATATAAATTAGTCTTTGTGTAAAAGTTGATATCAATTTTATTTTAAAATGTCAACACAAACAATGTTATGAATTTTTTAATTTAATTTCTTTTCAATAGGATCAAAGGAATTTTTCTGAGTGTTTTTTCTGAGTGTTCGATCTTTGTATTAATAATTATAACAAACTAGTGGAGTAATTTCACAAAAAATAATTGAATATCAATTCAATAAAAATTTAATTAATTTATTTTCTTAATAATTTGTTCAATAATAATTTTCAAATTTATTGTGTACTAGCATTTTTCAATAAATTTTTTTCGTAATAATTTTTTAATAACATTGTAATTGTTCTCTCCGCTTTTTATGTCATGAGATAATTTATTATATATTTTTAGGACATTACGTGTGACTTATAAGACGCTAATTTTAATTTTGATGGCGACCTGATTAAATTATTTTTATACCGGCAGGGGTAACGTCGGGACTGGCCGCCTCCTTTTAAATATAGATTAGGGTGGTGTCTGACAAATTTTAATATTTCAAATGCTTAAAGTGTGATTTACAGCTTTCAGTTAACTAGGATACGCACACACTTTTTTTGAAAATTAGCAAGTCCTGTTCGCGCAGATGCACTTGTTTCCCCACAAAACATTTTTTTTTATAACATCATGTGGCGGGACGAACAAATCGTTCGTCTGATGGTAAGCTATACGCCTGTCCATAACAGTTGCAGTGTCACTCAGAACTTTAAATCGCAAATTTAAATGCCTGTAATTTCACCAGCACCCTTACCCTTCAAAACTGGAACACAGTAATGGTCACATTACTGTTTGACGGCATATAACATACTTAAAGGGCACAATTATAGTCAGTAGTGACTTTTTCTGAGGTATTTATGAAGTAATTATTGTATTTGAATTACATAAAAAGGGCACAGTACCGTATATTACAAGTAAAATCCTTTGAAAGTGTTTTTAACTTAATAAAATGTCAGATATGACTTTTTATCTTCGAAAAATCTGATTATTATTGATTAAACATTTCCATACTCTAAGGCTCTACATAAAAAAAAATTGCATATGCACTAGTATATGATTTTTTTTAATGAGAAGGAGGCAAACGAGCAGACGAGCCACTTGATGGGAGGTGGTCATCGTCGCCCATGGACATTTGCAACATCAGATGAGCTGCCTATGGTTGCCAGCCTTTGAGAGTCTGTAAACACGCTTTTTGAAGAACCATGTCATAGTGTAACGGAAATATTGCAGGTTCGAGGAAGGAATGAACGTGATTCCCGCGTGGTCTTACAATGCCAGGCATCTAAGATGTGGGGATAGACTCTTTTAGCGGAAAGTTCGATGTTAGAAATGAGACGATGGCACCAGTTCGAAAAGTTCATCAGAGCACTCCTCATTATAAAGACGGTAGAGTACACCTGGCTGTCTGTACAGCCAACCAACCAACGTCTCTCCGTAGCTACATTTATTGAATTCAATAATTAAGTCAATTTTGGTAAAAATGTTAGTTATGCCTTTTTTAGTTTCAAGCGCCGAATATAATATGCCCGACAACCAATAACCAATAGCCTAGTCTCTATCTAGGGAGTTCCGTACAAGAAGCAATGCGTACAAGAGCAACGAAATTCATTCTGGGGCAGTTCCCAGGACACCCAGGTCAGAACCTATTTCGAAAAGCGCTGCCGCTGCTTGAAAGCGCTGCCGGTACTTGAAAGAGGGCGCTTGTAACAAAAACTTAGACCTGAGAATATAATGTTTAACGTAGGTAATGAAATTAAAAAATATCTACATTTCCCTTGCAGTAATTTCATATCTTATCCACCTATATATCCACCAAATAATATTGACAGATCGGCCTTTTTTACTAATCACGGCAGCATAAGTGACAAATTTTGAAAAGACATCAGCTAACGGCGGCAGAGCTCATTCCCAATTTGGTCCTTCGAACCGAACCTCCCGGGACCTCCTCATCCAGATCTCATCGTGCAAATCGCTGGGCCACACAGGTCATAATCCACACTACCATTTTAAAATCTAAAATTAAGTTAAGTTTACTTTTAACCGATTGTAAAGTTATCTACACTAAAATTGTACAAAATAATAGTAGATTAATATTGTAAATAAAGTAAATATAATTTACATACCTAACACACAGCCTATTATCGTTATCTAAATTCAAAGAAGATACCTTAATAGTGACGAAAGATACACGAGGGTTGTCACTGTTACTAAGTAACAGGTATTTGTAATAGCAGTTACAGATTAAGCGTTTTATTAAATGTAACTGACAGATTAGTTTCTTGGTATTAAAATTTTAGTTCGACGGTTAGTAAAAATGAAAAAAAATATACAAATATTAAAATAAATAAAAAGGAGGAGGTTCTCAATTCGACTGTAAGTTTTTTCTTTTTTTTTTTTGTATGTATTACTCACGATAACTCTAATTTGTGAACCGATTTTAATGATTATTTATTTTTTGGAAAGAGGGTACCTCGGTAGTGGTCTCATTTAAATTGTAAGAAAATACTCCACCTCTACGGGTGGCAAACTAGGGGATGAATCGGGTTTCGCGCAATTTCTGGTAATCCATTTCAATACAACTTAGCAAATGCAATAATGTATGTAATTCCACGCATATTTGATGTCGGTTTTTTTAGTGTCCTGTACTAAGATTATAAGATAAAAGCTAGGCAACTAAATAGTTCATACTAAAAAATTTAATTGACTTTGTTTTAGTAGCAGCAGAGTTTCTTGTGAAAGAATTCCTCCAGGGAAGTACTCCACCTTACCTATTTTTGCCGCCAAGCAGTAATGTCAGCATTACTGTGTTCCAGTTTTGAAGGGTAAGGGTGCTGGTGAAATTACAGGCACATGAGACTTGTCAACTTATGTCTTAGGGTGACGGACGCAGTGGCAGGGCCCTCAGATCTTTGAGATTTAAAATTTGTTCGGCCCGTCACTTCATATTATAAAAAAAGAAAAAGATAAAAGATTTTTATGAGCCCTGCGCAATGAGCAAGATACGGGCAGTCAAGATTGTTTGCAATCACATTCAGTAATGAACAATGCACGACAAAGAAGTTACACATCTTTTGGAACAAATATAATTTTATTTTTTGATGCAAAATAACGGTACGAACAAGTTGTGTGTATGGCTTAAGCTACACGCCTGGCAATAGTTGCAGTGCCGCTTAGAGCTTCTAAATGCAAAGGTCCGTCGCAATAAGGCAAGTTGACAAGTCCCATGTGCCTGTAATTTCACCAGCACCTTCAAAACAAGAACGCAGTAAAGCTCTCGTTACTGCTTGGCAGCGAAATAGGTAAAGTGCATTACTTCCCTGGACGGAGTGTTACACAAGGAGCTCTAGTGCTTCTACCTAACCTCTAACGTAAACTCTTTCCTGAGAAAAGATCAATTATTTTTACTTCACAAACAAGTAATTAGAGCTTCGTTATATTATGCTTGTTCGTCAGAGCCATGCCAGAGCTAACTGAGGCTCAGACGCTGCTGAGGTGCGACCAAATTTTCCCATGCCTTTTTTTATCCAATCGATTGGAATAATTGGCGGAACTGCTATCCCATATTGCAGGGCGTAGTTTTGCATTCTCTATAAATTTTTCAATTCTATTTTCATTCATGCATCGTGGTTCATTTGAAAAATTAATATGTACTCCTCACTAACCGTGATTGCAACCGAGTTTGACAGCGCGGCCGCTGCGCGGTTGCAGCGCTTCTAGAAATTGTTTGAAAAGCGATAGTCGCGTGGCCGCTGCGTGGCTGCAGCGCGTCTAACAGCGGTTAATTTGACGCGCCCTTAGTGTCAACTTCTATATCATTTGTGTTTCTACAAATAAATGGCTTATGAATTATGGATTGAAAGTGAAATTGTATTGAATATCACGATGTTTTATTACCAAGACATCAAATTACATTTTTGTGAAATTATTAGTTTTGTTATTATTCATAATACAAAGGTCAACTACTAAGAAAAAATCTTTCGATTTGGCAGTGACACGTATTGACGCAACTGAGCTAACCAAAAGACGTTACGAATTTTTCTATGCATGTTGCAGATCTTCGTTTTTTTTTTGGTATTTTAGCGACTGTTATGCCATAGCGCTATCTGTGAGAAATCTATGAAAGTTTGTTAAGTGACATGTTATTTGTTTCGAAAATTTATGAAATTTTAGTTTTGTTCTATGATTAATGTATTCGAAAGAATAAACGCAAAAAGATTAAAGATTTTAAATTATAAAAGCGATATTGAATTGAAAATTTTGTATATATAGTTGTCTTGTTTTTGTCTGGTGTATTATTTTTCGGCAATCATTACATATGTTTTATTATTTACACAAGTGTTTAAGTTATTCTTAAGCCTTGTGGAGCGTCCGGTTGTCATACATAGTCAGCTACAGCGCGTACAGCGTGGTATTGCCAACGTACAGGTTTACCACTATACTTGGGTACATTTTTGAGCAT